GTTAAAAAAAAAAAAAAAAGGGGAAGCCCCAAAAAATAAAACAAACCCCTTTTTTTTTTTTTTTTTTTTTTAACGTTCTCTTCATAGAAAAATACAAAAAAAGAATCCTATTGTAAAGCATTTTAACTATTGTGTTTCGCCCCATTTAAGGAAATAAGCCAACTCTTCACGCTTTCCACTGGATACGGCCCCAGATATACATGGATAGTTAGAGAGAGAGAGCAATGATTTTCGTTTAACATCAAAGTTATAAAACATTGACAAAAAAATGATTCATATGTGGTCTAAGCTTATTTATAATTTTACAATAAATTTATTTAAAACCTAAAAGAAAAGTTGTCAAAATATTTAAGATTGAAATAAAATTTTAAAATAAAAAAAAATAGAGTAAAACTTAAATAATTATGCCATATTATCATAACATAGGATAAAATAAATTTAAATGACATTGTTCTTTTTCTTTTACTTAATTTGTTTACACAATTTACATGTATATCTATATATAAAACTAAATCAACACTGCACACATATACTAAACAAAGAAATAATAATGTGTATTTATTTATTATATATTCAAAAAACTTCTCTGTTAAAAAAAATATTTTGAAATATCTCTGCTATAATTATTTATTAAAAGAAAAAACTAATTCAAACTTGCATAAACTAAACATTTGTTGACCAAAAAAAAGAACTAAAATAATATATGAAATTTATAACAACCTGTGTAGCAAACAACATAAAATAACATGTTTTCAATAAAATAGACTTAGGGGTAGAAGTTGAACTAATTTGAACATAATTTTGGTTGCTTCACAAACCTTGTCCTTTAGCCATTGCATGCAGAGAGCTCCAAGCTTATCATCAAAAAAACCTACGCCCAACTGACTCGCCAGCAAGGGTATATATTCTATGATTGCAAGTCGAACTCTCCAGTGTCGATCCTCAGCAAGCTCAACTATAGCTGGCAACAGAGATTGAGATAACAAATCGATACCGATAACCTGCAATCCACGTGTAAATTACAGACTTCAATAGAGAGAGTATATGAAAAATAATGGCATTTGAAATGTACATGCCGATCTGAAAGAATAAAAGAATATTCAATTTTAAGCCACATACCTGGTTCACTTGATCAAGCTTGCTGATAATATTTAGCCTGACATCAGGAAACTCATCTTTTAAAAGAGAGAGGAAAATAGGCAGAAGTTGCTCGATTGTTGCATCCTGCAACCACCACAACACCAAAATATTGTAAAAGCAAGAAGGCACATTCATCCTCTATTTGTTAACAAGAGTTGAGTTACTTTTTAGATGGGAACAGTTTCAAGAGTTAAGGAATATAAACAACGATTGCTAGCGCAGGAGCATAGGGTATGAGAAAATGGAAACAGGGATGTGCTTGTCTGAGGAGATAAAAAAATGAAAAGTGAGAAAGAGAAGAAAATAGATAGGAGCCTGAAAATAAAAATAGAGTGAGATCATTGAGATGAAAAGGTTTTGATTTTCACATATTCGTATTTAGTAGTTAGCAAAAGACCAGAGTATTATTGACTAAATTTTATTCCATAGGAAAGGCCAAAGTTTGTGAGGTGGAGTGTGAAAGAGTTGCATTCTACTTTTAACTTGTCCAAGACTTGCATTGTTAGTTTGTTACAAGGAAGTGTGAAGTCAATTCCATTCCTAAATTTTTCCCCTTCCACAGACAAGGAAACATTAAATAAGGCATGAAATATGCAAATACAGATTGCATTTATTTATAATAGAATGTGCAAATCTGCTTGCCTAATACACCCACAAAAAAGGATATAATAACCTAAGCCACATTTGGAAAGACTTCCTTATATGCTAAGCAGCTAAACCATTTATCCATATAATATCCTAAGCCATATGATTTTTTATCCCTTTTGAAAATTTGTGTAGACACATTTTTAAAAACGTGCTAATTTTATGTCAGTATGCTTAATGAGCTTAGATAGAGATTCATACCTTCCCTAACACTGGTGCCATTCCCATTATAACAGATGCCAATGCAGAACGAACATGTTGAGATGAATCTGTTGATAAATCCTATAGTACGCAAACTAGATCAGTCTTAATTGAACTAGTATCATAAATTTTAAATTGTAAGAATCCCAATTATTTAACTGTAACTCTTTACCTTCACACATGGTAGAATATGCTGAATGGCAAGTTCAGGATTTAATATACGAGAGAACTTAGTTACTTTTCCAGCAGCAGCAATACGTACTTCAGCTTCATTATCGCGCAGCAGCCGAACATATGCGGGAACCAATTCTGACCTACAAATTCATCACCATCATATAAACAGTTAATTAGAATCTATTTTACTATTTGCTGAAATTTATTAGAAATCACAACTTTGTAGGTGTCACTACTTATTTAATGAGCCCCATCACAAAATTTTGTAGGTCTCACTTTTTATTAAATGAGTCCCCTTATGATTTTGTAATTTTTAATAAATTTTAAAGAATAGTAGAGTATAATAGAAGGAGTGTGTTAGAGAGTGCATTGCTATGAAAAAAAAAGTGTGATGCTAGCATTCCTCTTTTAAATAATGTCATAGACCATGAAGAAATTAATATGCAGTCATAACTTTTATACATTCAATCATGAAGCATGAGTTTTTTTACCAACAGAAGAATGTAGTGATTAATACCAACAAAAACAGATTTTCCAATAGCACCAATGGAAAAAAAGTGTGTCAGAAAATCATGATAACCAACCAATCATTTAGCAGGTAAGAAAAAGTTACCTGGTGGGGTCAGGACCAACAGCTTCACATAGCTCATATAGTTGATTTGCAACCATGTAACGAACACGCCATGACTTATCCTGGATAAGGAGCGATTCAACTATGTTATAGAACATGTAGAACTTCATTTTGGAAACAACATAAGCCAGAAAAGGAAAAAAAAAAAACAAATTAAACAAAAAAAGAACAAGACTGTGATCATGAAAAGCATGAAGAGGAAATAAACAATCCTTTGACACAATATTATACCACAACAAAAACAAAAAGCCTTTTCCAACTACACTGCACCATTGTGTTCTGTCTAAAACCAAGTCTTCATAGAAGCCATTTAGATCTAAGTTCTTTTTAATGGTTTACCAAGCTTTTCTTGGTCTTCCTCTACTTCATACTAATAGCCTAACCTTCATTTGAAACTTATTGCTGCATCTTCAATTTGTCTTTTTTCACATGACCTTATGGATATACTATCATTTTTTCTTAGTACAAGCTACCCTTGCTTTCTCTCTGATAAGAGCAGAGTATTAAACAAGTTTAGTATGCTCAAGGATAACTCTTTCCTTTGTGCTGTCTTGTTCTATATTATACTACTAGCCCAGTTTACTGCATATAAATACATATCCTACACCCACATTTGGTACAAGTTTATCTTATTCACAAACTGCAATTCCTTCTCTAACCTTACCTATTCTTTTATGCCCATTCATCTATCGCATATTTTCATCTCTGCAATACTTATGTTATTGTTGGCACCGTAACACCCAACATTCAGTAGTATAAAGCATTGTTGGTACTATTGCTGTGTGGTAAATTGACACTTAAGCTCTGAAACAATATTATAAGACCCCAAAAAAATTGTTTTGCAGTACAATTGTTTGTTTTCCATCCATGCATTTTTTATATTAGACAAAAGAAATCTTAAATTGATACATATTTTACATATGCATTCTTCCTATGAAACAGAACAACTAGATTAGTATCCAAAATTATGCAAGCATAGTAATTTGTATAGTGGTACATATGATTGGAGAGCAATAACTAAACATGACAAAATTATGCAAGCATAGTAATTTGTATAGTGGTACATATGATTGGAGAGCAATAACTAAACATGACCTCAGCGTATCAATATACTCATACATAATATAGTTAACTAAAAAGCAACCCAAATGTTGCAGTCAAGACATCCAGTCATTAGTGTTGGACACAAAATGGCTATGGAAGACATATTTCTTATCTCTACACATTACTAATGGTCAACAAACCTGAGAAAAGTTGACTATGACAGGAAGAATATGTGCCACACAATCTTGAGGTTCCAACAGTTTTCCAAGAGCTGCACAACCCTCAACTGCAAGTAGCCGAACAGAATCTTGATCTGCAAGAACAAGGGTGAAGAAGTCACCGGTTATATATGCACTTCGAGTTCCAGCAGATCAACTAAAAAACTATTAACAATACAACTAAATACATAAGCATGACACACTCAAACTGTATTCATTTATCGCGTTGGTCAGTCCAATATACTAACAATGACTTCAGTTTCTAATAAAGGAAAATAAATTATAATGTCAAGAATAAATGAAACTTAAAAGTCTTATCCTAACAACCGACCATGTCAAGGTTTGAAGCTGCGCTTTCTTAAAAACAAATTTAAGCACATGAAAAATTAATCAGGATGCCAAGTTTCCAAATAACATTATAAACAACAATAATGTTTTGTTCTTTTCATCAATTATCTGTTATGTGAATGTCCACTGGATAATTTCCTTCATCTAGCCTCTTTCGAATTTAAAACATGATCACTGTTTCTTTTATTGGAAATATCAATAACAAAACCAGTTCATCTGGTACAAGTCTGCATGTGTGTGTAGTAATATATAAACAACTGTACATACATATTTCTCCTTCTATATCAAGAATTTGGGCTAACTAAGAGAAAACTAAGATGAACAGAGATTAAATATGAACATGAAATAGTTGAAAACTTGCCTAAGACTCAAAAATGCCTTAATTATATTCCAATCTTCTTTTTCTTTTTCAGTTTCCTTCTTGTTGGTCTTCTTCTGAACTTAAAATCATCCACATGGTGTATTCACAGTAAAACATAAAATCTCACTATCTGATTCTCACAAATCCCTAGAGGATGCAGATTGTTTTCAGAATATCATTCACAGGCATAGAATAGCAGCTACCTACTGGGGTCCTCAACTTATCTAAGAAATAAAAATTATTGAACTAAATACAATTACAAATACTAAAACTGTTGCATTTATCCTACATTTATTTAACAGATTCACGATGTGTGGTGCTGGAATTAGTGGTATCGTATCAACTTCACATACCATCCTGCGTGAGATCCTCAAACATAGACATGATGTCAGATTTCACGTGAGGAGCTTCAACAGTAGCAGCAAACTTTCCCAAATTTGTGGCAGCAGACCTCCTAACCATGGGCATATCATCTTGACACAGCTGAGCATATATGGCTCTCAGTTCAGTCCTCACCGCCTCTGGCGCACTTGGGTAGGCAATATGAAACAAACCACATGACGAAACCCGTGCCGTGAACCACTCACCAGCAGCCAGCCTCTACAACAAGCAAAACAACAAATGCAATGAACGCCACTCAAACGACAATCAGGCTCATAATAAAGTCCTGTTTAGATAAACTTCTTCCTTAACACTTATATAAGAGAAGAAAATAAGAAGCTAAGATGAATCGAGCTTCTTGTATAAGCTAAAATAAACTTATACACTTATGACTTAACTTTTTATAGAAGTTCTTTTCATTTAACTTCTCCAAAACTAAGTTACAAAAGTTAATTTTAGCTAAAGAAAAAACTCAATGTCTTTTACCTTTTAATTTTCTTCTAGAATAAGCACTTAAGAAGAAATTTATTCAAACACACCTCAACACTCAAACACTAAAGAAAAATCTCAATGTCTTTTATCTTTTAATTTTCTTCTGGAATAAGTACTTGCAAGGAAATTTATCCAAAGAAACCTGAATACGATGAATGAAAATGCAACGCAACGCAACTATGTATATATTTATATACTACCTTAACTAAGGGAATGAAGTGTTCAACCAAGTCATGCTCCCTCATCTGACCTCCAATTCTGCAGAGCGACTCCACCGCTTTGTCTCTGACGCAGGTTTCCTCAACGGTGCAAAGCGTTTCCAAGGGAGGAAGAAGCACGTTGGCGTGGTCGGCGCCTCCGACGTAGGGAATGAAGACGCCGAGTTCCTCAGCCATGGCGAGAAGCACTTCGTCGTCATCGTCGTTGTTCTCGCTGAGGAACGGAATCAGCTCCTTCCGCGTCCTCTCCTCGCCGAGCGCGCGCGCGATCGTGGAGAGCCTCCGGATCGAGTTCAGGCGCAGCTGAATGTCCTCGTTCTTCAACTCGTCGATCAAAACGGCAATCGGATACAGAGGCTGGTCCACCATAGCCATGTCGTTTCACGGATCCTGCAACAATCGGAGATCCACGATTCGCTCGATTTCAAATTCAAACACAAAACGACAAAAAGGAAAAGAATAAAAAGAGAAGGCGAAATCTAGGATACGGTGCTTGATCTGAAGCAATGGAGCGTAGTTCAGAGGGAAATTGATGAAAACGAATAAATGAATGTGTTGAAGAAAAGAGAGGGAAAGAAAAAAGATAAAAATAAAAATGTTGTCACTTCAAGTAGTAAA